GGTCTGGCGGCAGAGGGAGCAGCATGACCAGAACCCGGGGCTGAGGAGAGCAGGACACATCCGGGAACCCAGGCGAGCACGTGGGGGGACGTGTGTCCCTGAGACCAGAACCGGGCACAGGAGCCCCGAGCCCTGAGCCCCGCAGGCAGCGGCTGGGGAGCCTCCCTCAGGTGCCACAGACCACTGACTCACCCCTACTCGCTTTCCTGAAAACCTCCCAGGACACACAAGGACTGAGGAATGGGGGAGGGGAGAGGTATGCAGGGGGGCTGCCTGGACCAGCAGGGGTGAGGGGTGCAGAGGAGCTGGATAAGACACTGAAAGGCAGAAGCAAGTTGGATGCACCTGCCAGCCTCCAGGATGGGGTACAGGGGGCAGGTGGTGACATAAACATGGGGGACAGAACCCGGAACCCTCACCAGGGGGACCTGAGCCCCGGGAGTCCCCTCCCCTCAGGCAGGAACACTCACCGTGGACACACACTTCCCCGAGGTCCCGGGTGGCACTTTTCTGGTCCACCGGGATGCTGACCACACAGGTGACCCTGGGGCTGGGCTGGCTCAGGGGCAGGTTCAGAGCCAGGGTCCAGGGGTTGGGGGCCGGTCCTGGGGCCCCTCTCTGCTCCAGCTCCCTGGGGAGGCCCTTGCTCTCCCAGGACACGTTCATGGCCCCTGTGGCTCCCGGGGTGTGGCACTCCAGGGTGACGTTGCACCAGTCTCGTGTGAGGGACAGGATCTCAGCCAGGACCTGGGGACGGGGCACGGGCTCTGGGGCAGGAGGGACAAAGGACAGGATGTTCGTGAGTGGAGAGCATCACACTCCTGCTTCCTCGTGCGGAATCTCACTGACGCCCTGGCTCCTCCCCGGAGGATGGTGAGTCCATTTTACAGATGACACAGAACTGACTCAAATATACAGCAAGTGACAATATGGACAGGAATATGGGTGCCTGGGGGGCTCAGTCAGTTATGCATCTGACTGCAGCGCAGGTCATGACCTCATGGTTCGTGGGTTCAAGCCCTAATTCGGGTCTGTGCTCATAGCTCAGAGCCTGGAGCCTGCCTCAGATTCTGTATCTCCCTCTCTCTCTGACCCTCCCCTGCTCATGGGCCTCTCTCTCTCTCTCTCTCTCTCCTTCTCTCTCTGACCCTCCCCTGTTCATGGGCCTCTCTCTCTCTCTCCTTCTCTCTCTCTCTCACTCCTTCTCTCTCTCCCTCTCAGAAATAAATAAAACTTTAAAAAACAACTTTTAACGACAGGAGATACTGAGTGAAGCCCCAGGTGATTTCACTAGACTGAGCACATCTCAAAATGTCTCTGGAGAAGATACATACTAGACTCCTCCTACCAGAACCCGATTCTTCTAAGAAAGTGGGATTTCCCCTAAAAGAAAAAGAAGACAAGGGGCGTCTTATGGGCACAATGAAGCATCTTACTTTGGCTCGGGTCATGATCTCGCACGTCGTGAGCTCAAGCCCCACGTCGGGCTCTGTGCTGACTGCTCACATCCTGGATCCTGCTTCAGATTCTGTCTCCTCCTCTCTGCCCTTCCTCTGCTCATGCTCTTTCTGTCTGTCTGTCTCTCAAAACTACATAAACATTAAAAATAAAAACACATTTTTGAAGACCGAGAACGGTACGGAAGGATCTGTCCTGTTCATGCCTGGGCTCCCTCCTCCTCTGCTCGAATGGTGGCCGGGACCGCACGGCCCGAGGTGCACAACTTCCACCTGGCAGCTCTGGTGCCCCGAGAACGGTCCCCGGCCCCCAGCAGAGAGGCCACTGTGGGAAACGCAGTGGGGACCCAAGGAATGGACACCCTGAGCTCATTTAGAACGTGCATAAACTTGCCGTCCACGTGGAAGACAAGAGACAAACTGACGGGCAGTGTGGGGACCTCAGGGACCTGAGGCTGCAGGAGCCGCTCTCCCTGGAGCAGGATGTCTCCCCCCACAGAGGGGTCAGAGACAGAGACAGAGGGAGATGCTGACTGCGCGTCTGAGGAAGGGCCGCCCTGTGAACGTCTCCTGCGTCCCTGGATGTTGAGAGTGCACGTGGGGAGTCTGGGAGTGGGGGTGGCTTCGGGCTGGTGCAGAGGAGGAGGGACAGGGCAGGGAGGACCCCGCATGGGTTGTGTTTGAGATTGGTGATCAGTGTCCCCAAAGATGACCACGTGCTAACCGTCAGAGCCTGTAGGTGTTTTAGGGTCCATGTGGAGGGGGAACTGAGGCCGTGAAACAGCTGACCCTAAACTAGGGAAGGTCTGAATAACCAGACATGAGCGGTGGGATCGCAGGGTCCTCACACATGGATGGAGGAGGGCAGGAGGGGGGAGGGATGCAGGACCAGAAGGATTTAGGTCTCGACACCCGGCTTTGCAGGTGGAGGAGGGAACCACCTGTCAAGGAACGTGGCCACCACTACAAGGTTGGACAGGAAAGATGTGGATCCTTCCCTGTAGCCTCCAGAAGGGAGCACAGCCCTGCAGACACCTGACCTTCATCGTGGTGGCCCCGGGTCTGACCCTGACCCACACACAGGTGCACACGAGGTTGGGGCCGCACTAAAACACCTGGTGGGTCCATCTGTGACAGCAGCAACAGCCGCCACCACACCACTTAAGGACACATGTCCCGTGAGCACAGTAAGGGTTCCCACAAACCCCCACCTCCCCACATGTCCCTTTTCTGTCCTGAAGCACCGAGGGATCCACCTCTGCTGGGAGTCTCAGCCCCGCCTCCACTCGTGCTGAACACGCTGCTTCTGATTTCAGGGGAGAAGCAGAGGCTGAAGTCTGGGGTCTGGAAGGGGTCCTGCAAGGGGGCCATGGACACTCCCAGGGACCAAAGCAGGGGGTAAGCCTGTCCTGGGGGAGGGGCCACCACGTACCGTAGACACTGAGGTGGAAATACTGGGCATTTTCTATCCCTGTGCTGAAGGAGCATCGAGCCCGATACCACCCACTGTCCTCGAGGGTCAGCTTGTCAATCCTCAGGGTCGTAGTGTGGTGCACATGAAGCCTCTCCTTGAACTTGTCCTTGGAGGTGACCCATTCTGGAACATCCACCCCAGGAGACACATGCAGGAGGACTATGTAGTTTGACTCGTTTTTAACGGCCCAAGAAATCTTCTCCAGCTTGGCTTCAGGAGGTACTTCTGGACGTCTGGTCACATGAAACACCACAGAACCTCCTTGAGTTCCCTTCAGGGAAACTCGGTTTCTGGAATCCTCCACTCCAGATCCATGGGCCCCAGAGCTCCTGACCGCAGTGCTGAAGGCGCCTAGGATATTGGAAACACAAAGTGTGAGTGTGTTTCATTAAGAAAGAGGAGAAAACCATAGACCCCATCGTGGTAATGAACTCCACCCGGTGGATCCCTGGACTCCGGGGGGCGGGACAGAGCGCGAACCTGGGGCGAGGCTGGAATCAGTCCTGGTCCTGGTGGGGCGTCCCCTTGAACACGGTCCTGAACTGCCCACCCGAGTGTCCACACCTCCTTACGCTGAAAGGCTGAGCATGATGACATCTCAGAAGAAAAGCACTGAGCACATTTGGGTCAATGCCAAGTGCACAAGTGTAGGAGTAGCTTCCTATGTGGCTGCAGAGGCCCCAAACCCACACACAGTGGGAACCCTGGCCCTGCAGTGGGGGCTGCGCCCTTTGACTTGGTTGAGGAGCAGAGTTCAGCTACAGTGACAGCAGGTCTCACAGGAGTATGACTTCCATCTTGATCACAGCCTGTCTCTCACTGTTGGGATGAGCATGCTGCCATGTTGGGGCTGAGCTGTGGGGATGCCCATGAGGCCAAGATGGAGGTCTCTGGACGTCAGACCAGCCCCAGGAACTGCTCCCCTTCCCCAGTGCAGGGGTGAGGAGAACCACACCCTCCCAGTTGGCCTTGAGCTCCCTCAGCTCCACACAGACATGGATTTCATCTCAGAGGCTCTGGGACTCAGCCCCCAGGGTAGCCACCCCAGGTCCTGACCTGTCTGGAAGCCCATGGTGAGTTTCAGGGACTCCAGGGGATGGCAGTGAACACAGCAGCAGCAGGTGACAGTGACGGCACTGACAGAGATGAGTCTCGTCCCCTTCTGAGCAGGCCTGAGTCAGAGTCCGTAAGGCTGCATGACAGGCCTTCACCCCAGTCCCTCTGACCTCCCACATGGGACGGGGGCTCCCACCATGGGCCCAGCAGCCCTTCGCCCTCAGGCCACAGGCCCTCAGCTCCTGCATCAGGGGGAAGGTGGTCACACCGTCCCTGCCCCAGGCCGGCCAGGAGAGTGACAGGGACTCAGTCCTCAGCCCCCTGCCGGCCCCTCCTCCGTCCCTTCCCTCCAGAGGTCACCATCCTCTGACCCCCAGTGCAGGACGAGGTCGGGGCAGACACGTGCCCTGGGTGCAGGACCCCCCCCCGACACGGCACAGACCAGGTGCATGGAGACGGCAGGGGACACGGCCCCCAGGTCCCTCTAAGCAAGTCAGGACACGAATGCCCCGGGTCCCCACGACACGGCTCTCCATCCCTCCCATCAGACACTGTCCAGAAACTTGATTTTGGATCTCAGCCCCCGGGACTGTGAGACAACAGCTTGATGTGGTTCAAGTCATCAGGTGTATGAGATCCTGTTCCCACAGCCCCAGGAATCCGATGCAGCAGCCCAGGGGCTGTGACCAGCACGTGTGACCCTGTGAGGGCTCCTGGGACCCAAGTGAGGCTTCACCACAGCCAAACGCTCATTGTCCTCTTTGCCCTCTGCCCTGAGCTGGAAACCGCAGGCCCCACACATGCCCTCCAACAGAGGTGGTGTCAGGTCCTCCCCACAGACATCAGATCCACAGGAGCCCCCCTCCCTGCCCCGCACAGCGGCCTCCCACCCAGGGACCAGGGCCACTCACTGAGGAGGAGGCTGGTGAATCCCAGGAGCCAGGGGGCCCAGCACAGGCGCAGGGCCTCTGGATGGGTTCCCATCACAGGCTGCCTCCCTCCAGGCTTGCTCTGGGCTTACTCAGCAGGGGAAGAAACATCCAGAAGGCAGAGGCAAGAGAGGGGGAAAGCTTCACCCAAAGCCGCTCTTAGTTCCTCCCACCCCAGGGGCAGAGCTAACTGTTGAGAACAAGCTGGCTGGTCTAGGGAAAGACATTCAGATGCTTCCTCTTACCTCCACCCCTGCACTGGGACTCAGAGAATGATGACAGATGAATGTATGAACAACCCCCCAACCACCGCAATGAGACCCAGGGTGGGAGGGGACCCGTCCTGAAGGCCCCACCAGCCTGGTGACCTCAGCTCCTCAGCCGGCACCCAGCGAGCCCCCTTCCCTGTGTCCCTGGCCTCACACTCAGCCCTGCAGCCCTGCTCCCCAGGGACAGCTGATGGCCAGGGGCAGAGTCACACTAACCACTGTACCAAGGACTTGGGCCCCCCTCCCCTCATGCTTTGGGCCTGTCCTCTGTTTTTAAATCATTTAACAAGTCAAATTTCCCTTCTGCTTTTCTCTGTAATTCAACAGTGTGGCCTCCAGCAAGTCACCACATCCAGTCTGGGACCCTGACCTGCTCTCCCACCTCAGACAGGAGAGCACCATCACTGCCTTCTTCACCGGCTCCCGTCCCATAACATGGATGGTCCTTCAGACCGCTCAGTCCCTGAGCCTCGTGGGTAGAAACTCCTGGATAGAGTCCACATCTGGGCAGCTCACCACTGGTCACTCCAGCATGATGGGGAGCAGGTCGGCCATACCCCTGTCTCCATCCCTACACCCCTGGGGAGCACTCGCTGGGGAGGAGTGTTCACTCAGGAACCCCAGGCGGGGGGTTGAGGCCCAGGGTCTGGGACGGAGCCCCCAGCAGCTGCAGATCAGGGACATGGGAGGGGCAGCCACCGCACACTCCATGCTGGCACCACACCAGGGACATTTTCACCCTCCAGATACAGATCTCCATCTCCTCCTGTGTCCTGGGCAGCAAGAGAGTTAATGTCACTGACCACAGTGTGTCGAGGTTTCTGTGGTTCACAGGCACAGTCCCTGTGAGAGGCCATTTCATGGATGAGGAAAGTCAGGGCCCATTTAGGGAACTTGATGAGCCCATGGTCCTGAAGCCAGGATGTGGAGAACCAGGCCCACATCTCAGGCTCTTAGGCCACAGATATTTCCAAATCTAAGTCCCTCCTGATCTTGAGAAGCAACACTGGAGGGGGAGGGAGGCCAACTGGATCCAGGGAAACCTCTCTCCTTTCTCACACCCCCAAGCAGAGGAAACAGGCCAGCGGTTGCAGCTCTGTGGGCTCTGAGGTCCACAGAGGCCTTGCTGACCACAGCCTCCCTCCTCCCATGCACTTCCTGGGTCACACACCTCCAACCCTGCTCAGGGTGGGGCTTGCTTCTCCCCCACCTTAAGAAAATTCAAAAAGAGGTATACTGACTGTGGAGGATGAAATAAAACCAACTTGTACACATGTGACATGGTTTTCTATGTAAAAAATCCAGAGAATAGACACAACAAGAAGCAGAAGTACTCTTCATCTGATGAAGACTGATAGCACAGTTGCAGGGAACAAGGTTCCTACATGACACTCAATTACTCACTTTCACACCAGCAATGAAGAAGTGGATTTGAAACTGAAAACACAGTACCGTTTATTCTGACAACCAAAAAGTGAACTGTTTAGGCCTAAATTGAACAAAATATTCAAAGATCATTATGAGGAAAACTACAAGACTCTCATAAGCAAAATCAGAGAACTCTAAATACATGCAGAGATAGACCATATTCATGGATAAGAAGGCTCATTATTATCTAGATATTCATTCTTCCCAACATGATCAGTCCATTAGCTCAAAAACAATCTACATCCCAGCAGGTAATGGTGTAGATATTGATCACGTGATTCTACAGTTTGCATGGAAAGAAAATGACTCAGAGGAGCCCACACCATGTTGCTGAAGAGTGAAGGTGGACGGCCCACATCCGCCTCTCCCTCAAGACCTCCTATAAAGTTACAATCATCAAGACAGTACAGATTTGGGGAGAGATGAGCCAAGAGCCAAATAGATCCTGCAACAGAAGAGAGCCCAGAAATAGACCCACATATAGATGGTGAACTGATTTTTGACAAGGAACAAAGGCAGTACCATAGACAGAAGACAGTCTCTTCAACAAATGATGCCGGAACAATCAGACAGACATCACGTGCAGGGAGGAGGAGGAGGAGGAGGAGGAGAAGAAGAAGAAGAAGAAGAAGAAGAAGAAGAAGAAGAAGAAGAAGAAGAAGAAGAAGAAGAACCCAGACACAGAGCTCACAACCTTCACAGAAAATAAATATGCGGATCAGTGACCTCCACATAAATGAAGATTTGGGAAACTCCTACAGGACAACATAGGAGAAATCTAGATGTTCTTGGGACTCGCAAATATGTTTCCGAAAGACACGAATGGCTGAATTCATGGACAAAAGATGAGATAAGCAGGAATTCAGTGAAAATGAAACACTTCTGTTCTGCAAAGACAATCACAGGAAGGCAAAGACAAACCACAGACTGGGAGAAAAACATCTGCAAAAGGCATATCTGATAAGGAAGTGTTAGCTAACATATATAAAGAATTCTGAAAATTTAACAATAAGGAAACCAACAACCCAATCAAGAAAGAGGCCCAAGGCGCTAACACACATCTCACCAAAGAGGATACAGAGATGGGAGAGAAGCACAGGAAAGATGCCCCACATCACATGTCCTCAGGGACATGGAAACGGAGGCAATGAGACACCCCTGCAGCTGTTAGGATGACCGCAGTCTGAGCACCGCACCCCCCAGTGCTGGGGAGGAGGCGCCGCCCCAGGAACTCTCACTCCTGCAGCAGGGACGCAACACGGCATCGCCACTTTGGAACATGGCCTGGTGGTTTCTTAAAAACCTCAACATGTTCCTACCATACAATCCAGCAACCTCCCTCCTGGATAATTTCCAAAGAAGTTGAAGACCTAGTTCACACTAAAACCTACATCTAGTTGTATTTAACAACTTCCTTCATAATTGCCAAGACTTGAAAGAACCAAGTGATCCTGCACTCGATGAATAAATAAAATGGTCAAACCAGACAAAGGAACATCACCAGCTGTAAATAGAAACAAGCTGTCAAATCACAAAAAGACTCCCAGGGAACTTACATGCATGTTACCACATGAAAGACGGCAATGTGAAGAGTACACATCATTGCAATTACGTGATATTCTGGAAAAGGCAAAGTAATTTGTTATGTTTATTTACATCTTTTGAGAAAGAGAGCACCCAGTGGAGAGGCAGAGGGAGAGACAGAGAGGTTGAGAGAGAGAGAGAGAGAGAGAGAGAGAATGCCAAGCAGTCTCAGGGCTGCCAGCACAGAATCCAATGCAGGGCTTGAACCCGTGACCTGTGTGATCATGACCTGAGCAAAAATCAAGAGTCAGACACTTATCTCACAGAACCACCCAGGCGCCCCAAAAGGCAAAGTTGTGGAAATAGTAAAAACATCACCATTTTCCCAGGGTTGGGGGAGGAGTCATGAGCACGGGAAACGCAGGATTTTAGGGCAGTGAAAATACCCTGGGTGATACTATAATGGTAGAAACATGTCTTTTACCTTTGTCTGAACTCACAGAACACAGAGTGGCTGACAGGCAGGGAGGAGGCCTCGGGCCAACTGAGCCCACAGTCAAGAGAAACTTTGGCAAGTCCTTCTGGGCCAAGTCCATCTCAGTCATGATGAGGGATCGTTCACACTAGACAAACAGGTGGCACAGGGCCATTTTGGCCTTTTTTGCTTTAAAGAACACCTCGCACTGTTTCACGTGGTTCCCAAGACACCCCCCACCTATAGGTCAGCCCCTGTCTTTGCACCTGGGTCCCCAAGAGTCCGTCCCCAGCTGTGCCTCTAGTTGTCAGTATCTGGAAGGAAGGCAGGTCTTTCAGGGGATCCTTGAAGCGTTGTTACCAGGGGTTGTCAAGGATGATCCACAGCTTTCTGGCCTCTCCTCCAGGTGGCTGTCTGGCAGACTCAAGCCTGAGGAAGGGGCTAGGCCCTCCTGACTTAGAAAGTGCTAGCAGCCTGTGCAGACGGGGGAAATCCTGACAACTTCTGAGACCCCACCTCAGGGACTGTAGAGGCCCCAGTTCTACATGCTGACAAGATGCCCAGGTGCCCCTCCTCATCCCACTTCCCACTGGAAGGTGTGTTTCAACTGCAAATACCCAAGATCATGTAGAAATTGCTGATCGGTACACCCCATGCAGCCCTACAATATCCCACATTCCAGAACTAGACCAAGACACTCTGAGATGAAAACAGTCTATGGCACACGTCTTCAGGAGCCTCTTCCTGGGTACCTGACACTTGTGCTGGGAAGAGAACCACGTGTCACTGTTGATGTTGACCTTGACCACTGCCCCAGGCAGTGCCTGTCAGCAATGTGTTGTGACTCCTTTGAGTTCCCACCTCCAATTCTACGGGAATGGCCTCAGGTGAGTAACAGGTTAGGAGACAGAAGCATCCCTCAGGTGTCATATTCCTGTGTGTGTGAAGGATACAGGGGACAGGACACACCTCAGGGGACTGACACCATTACCTAGGGAGTGGTCAACAGAAGAGTCTGGACAATGTGAGGGACACGTGAGGACTTTCCATAGAGCTTAGCCCAGGGGCAGGTCAGGTAGATGGGAAGGTGTTGAAGGGCCACGGGACACAGTGGATCGGGGTGGGGGAGGAGGCAGGAAGTGAGACCTGGAAAGAGAGTCTGAGGCAGGAGTAGAAAGGAGGCTGTACTCCAGAGGCTGCCCCAGAGGCTCATGGGAGAGTAGTGCCTTCTTGTCAAGAGCATGTGGGCAGGTGTTTGTTGCTTGTTGCACATTTCCGAGGTTAGGATACATCTTAGAATTGATGTTACTTAGTGGCACATGAAACATTGATGTATCAAGATTATCGATACAAAGTAGCTTTGAGAAACACAGTAGCTACAATGAATTGTGAGAAAATGGATGGGTTCCCTTGAGAAGCAGGGCTGAGGATTCAAATGTGGAAGGGAGACTCTTTTTCTGGGCACATTTGCTCCAGTTTTAAACCGTATGTGTATAACGTGATATTTGTCATCAGGAGCTGTCTTCCAGCGAGACATGGAATGATTTATTTCCTCTGTGTCATTCATTTTTGACCATTTGTGGCAGCAGGGACACCTTGGTGCCTCAGTCGGTTAAGTATCAGGCTCTTGATACCCACACAAGACATGATCTCTCAGTTCCTGAGATCCAGCCTAGCATTGGGCTCTGATCACTGAAAGCATGGAGCCTGTTTGGAATTCTCTCTCCCTCTCTCTCTGCCCCTAGTTGCACCCACCTATGGACATGCTCACTCTCCCTGTCTCTCAAAATAAATAAATAAACATTTTAAACTAACCACATAAAATTTCAGTCAACAAACTTCAGACTACATGTTATAAGTAGGCTCACACCCCTCATGGCTGAGGTAGACACCACGTCCCCCCCAGATCAAAAGTGGCATCCACCACTGCTCAGCCAGCCAGGTGCCCCTAGACTTCCTCTTTAATATAGGATCTATTGGAGGCACCTGGTGGATCAGTCAGGTGGGCATTGGACTCCTGATCTCAGATTAGTTCACGATATCACGGGTTCATGGGTTCTAAACCTGCATTGGGTTCTGGGATTACAGCACTGAGCCTGCCTGGGATTCTGTCTCTTCCTCTCTCTGTCCCTCACCTGCTCTCTCTCTCTCTCTCTCTCTCTGACTCTTTCTCCCCCTCAAAATGAAGAAATAAACTTGAAAAAAATAATATAGTTACTCTTTGTTGAGCCCACAATGCTAGGCACCGATTCATGTGTTTTTTTCATTCACCCCATGAACAGGTTGAAGAGATCAGTCTGTTAGCATCCTATCTGGGCTCAGGAGAAATGTTACGTGAACAGAGGCAGGTGACTTGCCCAGGGTCCTTCAGCAGGAGGAGGAAGGTGGTCAGGGACTGCAGCTGTGCTCCAGGGGGTCCAGGTGAGATGGAGGTGCTCCTGGGAGAGACCAGGTGGGATGGGGGTGAACTAAGGGGACACCAGGTGGGATGGGGGTACTCCTGGTGGGGAGAGGGGTGGGCAGGCAGAAAGAGCTCTACAGTGTCACTAGACCACCCATCCTGCAACTCAGAGCCTCTCCACCTGACTGACAGGGATGACTGCACTCCGGAGAGAAACCTGGCTCAGAGAGGGGAGCAGGCAGGGATAGAAAGGCAACAGAGGCCTCACCAGGGAGTAGATTGTGCTGTTGACTGGGGCGTCTGTCCTCAGTCCTTCAAGGCAGGCTCCTTCCAGGGAGCAAAACCTTCTCTCAGGATCAGTTATTACCCCCAATGACCTGCCACTTAAGGGGACCATTGTGTCCCATCTCCTTCCCAGGAGATGTCACTTCTCAGCATCAGTCTCAAGGAGTGAGGCAGGAACCCCACTCTCGCCTCCAGGCTGTTTCACCCCAGAAACCTGGATCAGGACCTTGAGTCTCAGACTCAGGATCCTCAAGGGATCCCCCTTTCCCAGGTAACCCACCCAGCCCCCAGCCCCTGGTAACCTTCCCCCAGCCCCAGTAACAGTCCTGGACCTCCGATCCCCGCCCTCGTCCCCAGCCCACAACCCTTCTACACCAGGACCTCACCCCCCACCGCTCTCCAGGGCTCCTACCTTCCAGGTTTGGCTCCTGATCCCTGAGTCCTGGCTGCACATTTACGTCTACACTGCCGCCCCTGGGACCTGACACCCCTCCCAGTGTCGCTGGCGCTAATCTCCCCCTTCTGCCCTGTGGTGGGTCTGGGGTCAAAGGGAGAAGTTCTGCGGCCCCGCCCCCCTCAGCCCCACCTGAGGCCCCCAAGCCTCCCTGAGCATCCTCCCTCCCAGCCCTGAGCACAGGCACCACCGCCACCTGGCGGCCGAGGACAGAACTGCCGCTGGAGACTTCCTGCCCAGAAGCCCTCCACCATCAGCTCAGCTGCACACACAGGTCATGAGCGCCTACTGTGTGCAGCACAGGGGAGCAGCGACAGGAAGCTAAGTCCTTGTCCTAGAGCAGCGCCCAGGCTGGCGGGAGGTAGAAGCAGAAATCCGCTCAAGGAAGCCTGTGGGAGCCTCAGTGAGAGGGCCTCAGCGTTTTCGTTCAACAGGAAGGTGGCTCCAGGGAGGGGGACAGTGTGACCTGATGGGGGGCAGGCGGGTGCACAGGGACACCAGGAAGGGAGGGAGCCCGAGACACGGAAACTAATGTGGCTCCAGGCTGGGGCCGATCTCCGGTGGGAGGAGGGGCTGGGAGGCAGGTCAGATCTGCAGAGGGAGCAGGCAGGGGGGAGATCCCGCCTCCCAGTGGAGCCCCGCCCTCACCATGGGGAAGGGGGGCGGGGAGCAGGCACGGAGGGTCCCCTCCCCCCGCAGGGCCCTGCGCAGGGGGCCCCCCACCTTCTCCAGGAGCCCCTGCGGCTCCGCGGGTCTGCTCCTCACACCTGCTCTACAGACGCGCAGCACCTGCACCGGGACACGCGGGGAGCAGGGCCGGGGCCGCCGCGTGGGGGGAGCCACGGACGACAGACCACAGGCTCTGTGACGCCCTGTGTGACCCCCACCCGGGCCGCGTCAGCCGCCCCGTTGTGCTGCCTGCGGAGGTGGTCACGCCGGACAGAGACGGGCAGGGGCTTCAGCCCGGGGCCGGGACTCTGGGATTCCTGAGGACACCCGGGGACTCCTGGGGGCCGGGGCGGCCCGTCCTGACCCTGCTGCTCACGTTGGTGTTTCTCTAATTCTTTCACCTCTAGGTTTACACTGTGCCCTCTCGGTGTTATTCTCACAAGTGGGAAGGTGGTGAACAGAGAACACTGTGGACAACTTTAGAACACAAACCGTTCCCAGTAGTTCTGTGGTTCCCCTTGGGAATATTACAGACGTGAGTGATGAGAAACATGCTCTTAACTATTTACACTTCTTTCCTTTAATGTTTTTTATGTTCGTTTATTTATTTATTTGAGAAAGAGCATGGGGGGGAGGGGCAGAGAGACAGGGAGAGACAGAATCACAGGCAGGCTCTGCGCTGTCAGCACACAGAGCCCGATTAAAGTCTTGAACACACGAATCGTGAGATCATGACCTAACCTGAAACCGTGAGCCTGACAGTTAACAGCATGAGCCACACGGGCACCCCTACTCTTTACACTTCTTGCTACTCACTCTTCTTCTGTTTCTAGAACACCAGTGACTTAAACATGTGTAGCAGGTTTCTGACCCTCTTGTTTGACCTTTTTCTGAATTTCTACACTTATCCCTGAATATGAATCCTGAAAATCCCGTCATATTTGGGGTGGTGAGTCCTCTACACTCTGTGGATATATTATCTATGAGGAAGAAAATACGAAGGATTCGGGGGGCCCTGGGGGAACCGGAGGGGCAGCGGGCCGTCTTGTTCCAGAGCATGAAGGAGCCGGTGTCCCTCCCCAGGCTGCGGACGCGAGATGTGCACGTGCTTCCATTAGAGGCCGATCGTCCTGCTCCCCAGCCGCAGCTCCGGTGCCCCCCGGGCCCCAGGGCCCCCCCTCAAGGCAGCAGCAGGTTCACAGGGGGTGGGGAGCAGAGACACACCTCACCCAGGTGGATAAGTAGAGAGACGGGATGGGGTGGGGTGGGAGGGGAGGCAGCACACAGGCAGGGGTGAGGGGAGGGGGTGAGGGCTGACTTCGGAGGTTGGCTCCAGGGGTGGGCGTGGTTGAAAAGCCCAGGGGCTCACAGAGAATACACGGGAAGGAGAAGCAAGGCGGAGAGACTGGAAGGGACGCACAGGCCTGGGGGCCCAGCTCAGTGCTAAGCTTTGTCCTGTAAGAGGCCGTTTCCCAGAGCAGCTGACGATCAGACGCTAATTTCGCAGGAGGTTCATGGGACCTCTGCTCCTGGAGACAGGAATGAGAATTTCCTGATCACACACGCTGTGAAATCCAGATTAAAGCATTACCCATGATCCCGCGGGAGTAGGGAGTGTGAGTATCTCAGGAGGGATCTGTCCCCACATTTCCCACATTCCTCTGACCTGCGGGCCCCACCCCCGATGTGGAGGAGGGTCTCTCAGAACCCACCCCCCTGGGTCGCACTGAGAATCCCGATGCAGGTAAATTGGGTGCCCCTTAGTGGACACGGTGAGTGACAGCGGCCTGGGGGGCCGTGTTCTCCCTACCAGCCCCCCCCCACAGGGCAGCTCATGTACAAGCTGCTCCCTTCTGTTGAGCCCTATCTGGTCCCAGCAGTGGGACCCCATGGATGCACTGATGTGAGCTGTTGAGGGGGGACTGTGGGCCCCCAACCCAGACCCTCCCGGACGGTGGACTCCTTCCTTCCATGACCTGCTCATGAGCGCCTGCTGTGTGCCATCCCCTGGGCCAGGTGACAGGCAGGTACAGGAAGCTCCCAGCACAGGCTCGGCCCCCTCACTGTCTCAGGAGGAGACAGGCCCTGTGTGGTGCCCACAATGCAGAAGGGGAGCGGGGCTCTGGAGAAAAGAGCAGGTGGGGAGGTTCAGGACCTGGGAGTGTGGCTTCAGGGTCACACCAGGAGGTCAGGACAGGCATCACCAAGGACACCTCTGAGAACAGACTCAAGAAGGTGAGGAGTGACCCTGGACATCTGGGAACTGCCTGCCTGGGGGAGGTGATGGGAGTGTCATGGCCTCAGGGGGGACGTGGCTTGTCGTGTTCCAGGAGCCAGAGGTCAGGTGCCCAGAGCCTATGTGAGCCCAGAGAAGACAGGGAGGAGACTGAGATCAGAGAGGTGTCAGGGAGCCAGATCAGCTCCATCTGACCTAGAGACCCAGGATCCCGGGGCCAGAAGGGCCTCAGAGCTGCCCGGTGACCCACCACCTGCTGGGCAGGTGAGACACCAGGGGACAGGTGGGAGGCACGCCCCGGGCTCCGGGATAGAACTGGGCTCCTGAACTCCTTTCTCAGACCTGACTCTGAGCAGAGCTGCCCTGGCCTGGGCCGGAGGGAGGGCTGTGCTGTCCGCCCTGCAGTGTCCCTGAGGGACCAGTTCCCTGGGGCCCTGAGGGCGGGGCTGGGACACCTGACTGCGCACGGCCGCCGCTGCAGCATCTTCCACCAGGGACGATGTGCGCATAGGTTCTCCTGCAGGCCCTGAGCCTGTTGAAGCTGAGACTCAGGGAAGCCCCTGGCCCAGCGCCCTAACAGTGCCCACCTTGTGCACAGGACCCTTCCCAGCCTGGCTCCCAGGGTCTCAGTGTCTATCTCTGGTTGGGCCCTGGGAAGAGCCCTAGGGGCACCCAACCTATTTTCAGGGACTGTGGGGTGCAGAGAGGGGTGATGAGGAAGGGTGGACCCAGGGTGGCCTGGGCAGGAGCAGGGTGCACAGTAGGCTTGTCTGCTGGGCCCTTGCCTGTCCCTCTGGTGTTTGCTGCTGCAGGTCCCCAGGGGCTCATTGGGAGACAAGGAACTAGGCAGGGGGTAGGGGTGAGGGCAGAGCAGAGAGCAGGGAGGAGTGGGGGTGAGAAGCCTCACTTAACCTGCCAGAGACACTGATGCCATGGCCCCGCCCCCACTCACAGGGTGTGTCCCCCTCCAACTGCAGCAACCCCAGGGAGGGGAAACTGAGGCACCAGAGGAAAGGACCAGCTGCCAGGGACCCTCCTCTCCTGCCCCAATTCCTGGTGCATCTGGATGAGCCCTGGTGAAGCCTGACCCTCCCCCACTGCTCTGTGGACACACTGGGGGTGCAGGGAGGAGAGGGAGGCTGTTTCTACACACACCCCTTACCAGCACTGTAGGTCCAGGCTGAACCCACCAAGCACATACACCTGCTGGGAGGGCAGAGAGACCCAGACACCCTGCACCTCCCTGCTGGACAGCTGACCACAGGGACAGTCAGGACAGGGTGCTGCAGGAGGGGCTCAGCCTGAGTCTCTCCCACCCATGACCCTCAGGGGCTCCATCTCTCTCCTGCCCTCACCCCACTGGGTGTGCTTGGCCTCTGCGGCCTAAGGCCCCAGACCTGAAGAGTAGAGGTCAGTGGGAGTCCCCAGATAACCAGGGAAATAGGCTCAGAGTGACAGTTTGCTCATACTTACTGGCTGACCTGAGACCATGTATAGGGCAGTGATGAGCCTGAACGTGCTGCATGTCCAGATCATCCAATGTCCCAGGACCAGAAATTCCATAACTGGGGGTGGGTTGTCCCCAAGGCCTCAGGCTTTCCTCTTCAACTACATCCATCCCCTTCCCGGAGGCTGCTGATACATCAGCCTCTCAGGCTCCACGATGCTGGGAAGGGAACACCCACAGGCCAGCCCCACAAGTAGGCCCTGGGGACAAGGCAGTACCAGGGACTGGTCCAGGTTCAGCACCTGCAGGTTTGCAGACAGGAAGGAGGTTGGGGCCGTGCATGGGAGTAGGATGTGGGGTTCAGTGAGGACGTCGTGCAGAGAGAGAGAAGATTTCAGACACAACGGCTGCCCATGGTGTGGACGCCAGAACAGAGCGAATGAAGAAGCAAAGGAGCCTCCAGGTGTTTGGCTGAAGCGAGTGGATGGTGGGACCTGATCCAGGTGGAAATATGATCAGAGCTGAGGGAGGAGCTGGGGAGGGGCAGGGGGGCCCCTGGGAGGCACGAATTCCATTTCCTGCAGGTCCTCACAGGGTTCCAAGGGCAGATGTCCATCAGGAGCCGTGGGAGGGTGTCGGGTCAGGACTGGAGACGTGGCCTCAGCACAGCCAGGCTCCCACCAGGGCTTAGCTGGAGTCCCCTGGGGAGAGAGGAGGGCTGGGCGCTGACCAGCAGAGGATGGGCCAGTATAGACGGAGCGGGAGGGGCGGGTGGGGAACCTGCTGAGGGCGGAGCCAAGTCACAGTAAACAACACACTTCTTTAAATTAAAATTGAAATTACAAAACCAGAGTAGATCTTAGACAGTATCTTCTATTTTTATTTTTGAGTGTTACTTATTAAGTTTTGAGACAGAGACAGAGAGAAAATGCACATAGTGACTGCTGAAAGATTTTAAACTGGATGTGCTGACTGTTGTGAATCATAATGACTTTAAGCCAGAGGCTGACGGCTCTGACAGGCAGATTGCTGTCATACAGGTGGGGAGCCTGGGGTCCGTATAGGGAGGCCAAGGAGATGAGGCTGAGTGGGATTGGAACACAGGTTTGGACCCATTTAAATACTAAGGTCCCCTTTTGATTCTCCAGATCTGTGTCTTCTGGTGAACTTGTGCTCAAGATGTTTGCATACAAATAAATACACCAATGTCGGCTAAATCCATCCCTGCTCGGAGCAGTCAGAGGGGGAGGGGCAGGACCAGGGCTGCAGGCTTCACACACACAACAGAGGTGTCACCAGAAGCTGGATTCCCTGCTTCTTCCGATTAATTCACCATCCTGACCTGGCCTGGTGTGCGGACCTCAGTGTAGACAGGACGGAGATGGGTCTCCTGTTGTAAATGTGCTTCACTCCATCCCTGGAATGCAGACAAAGGAACAGGGAGGCCACAGAGGGACCCACACAGATGCCATGCTGCTCACATGACCTCCCCCAACACGTCCAGTCCTGCTTGGACCCGTGTTAATACTGCATGTCTCAAATGGAAACAGAAGAAGCCAGAAACTGCAGATGAGTGGGTTTGACCAACTCACACCCAGGATCACAGGGATGGGGGAGAACCCAGGTCTCACCTTGTCCCTGCCGTCCTGGGGCATCGGCCTGCTCAGCTCTGCATAGTGGACGCCAGCATCATGGTCCCTGTGTTTCTCCTGCGACCCTGCACCTGAGCCCCACACACCTGGAGCTGAATCTGAGCCTTGGGAACCTTGCCCTCCCCCCACCATGACCCCCACGGTGATGCCCACACCCACCAGCCTCCTGGGGTGCATTCTCTGAGCAGCAAAATGCAGGGGAGGGAGCTGAGGGTCAGTGGGGGAGGGAGGGGTGTGGGCAGGGGAAGGAGACGTGCACCTGCCTCTCCCAGTCTCCAAGCTCTTCCTCTCCCCACGTGAGAACACCAGGTACAGCCCAGCCCGAGGACCAGCATCACGACCACAAGAGCCCCCAGGATGGCTCCCACGTGAGCAGCACCGGCCTGTCTGTGTGGACGTGTTTCTCCCTCTCAGGGACGGTGAAGAAGGATAAACGAGGGACAATGTCAAACGCCCATTGCCAAGCACATGGAGGCGTCTGAAGGGGCGGGTCTCAGCTGGAGAGGGGGGACGTGGCAGGTGCTTTCACCAACCAGTTCTGAGCCCTGCTGGGGGCCGGGTGCTGAGAGGACCAGGACAGGGTCCCCGCGCTGGAGGAGCTCGTCAGTGGGGGAAGGTGGTGACATAGACATGGGGGACAGAACCAGGAACCATCACCAGGGGGACCTGAGCCCCAGGAGTCCCCTCCCCTCAGGCAGGAACACTCACAATGGACACACACTTCCCAGAGGTCCCGGGTGGCAATTTTCTGATCCACAGGGTTGCTGACCACACAGATGGTGCTGGGGCTGGGCTGGTTCAGGGGCAGGTTCAGAGCCAGGGTCCAGGGATTGGGGGCTGGTCCTGGGGCCCCCCTCTTCTCCAGCTCACTGGGGAGGCCCTTACTCTCCCAGGACACGTTCAAGGCCCCTGTGGCTCCCGGGGTGTGGCACTCCAGGGTGACGTTGCACCAGTCTCGTGTGAGGGACAGGATCTTGGCCAGGACCTGGGGACGGGGCACGGGCTCTGGGGCAGGAGGGACAAAGGACAGGGTGTCCCGTGAGTGGAGAGCATCACACTCCTGCTTCCTCATGCAGAATCTCACTGATGCCCTGGTTCCTCCCCAGAGGATGGTGAGTCCATTTTACAGACAGACTGACTTGCCCCAAATATACAACAAGTGACGATAAGAAAGGAGCCACTGAGTGAAGCCGCATGTGATTCCACTAGACTGAGCACGTCTAAAAATCTCCCAGGAAAAATTACATATACACCCCTCCTACCAGAGTCCATTGATTCTAAGACAGTGAGGTGTCCTCCGGAAAACAAGGAGCCTGGAACTGAATGATCTGTCCTGTTTTGTTCCCTGCTCCCTTCTGCTCCCATGGATGTCGGGACCACACCACCTGAGGTGCAAAGGCCACCTGGCAGCTCTGGTGCCCAGAGAACGTCCCAGGCTCCCAGCATGAGAGGCCACAGTGGGGACGCAGTGGGGCTGGAGGAATGGCCAGCCAGAGCCTGGTTAGGATTTGCCGTCCACAATGGAGACAAGAGACAGACTGACAGGCCCTCTGGGGACCTCACAGACCTGAGGCTGCAGGAGCCACTCTCCCCAGAGCAGGATGTCTCCCTCCACAGGGGGTCAGAGACAGAGACAGAGGTGCTGACTGCGTGTCTGAGGAAGGGCCGCCCTGTGAACGTCTCCTGTGTCCCTGGAGGTTCAGAGCGGGACCGGGGAGTCTGGGAGTGAGGGTGGCCTCGGGCTGGTGCTGAGAAGGGGAAGGGACGGAGTGGGAGATGCTACATGGTTTCTTGATCGTGCCGGGAGACGAGTGTCCCCAAAGATGAACACCTGTTACCCACCGACCTGCAGGTGTCCTAGAATCCATGGCGAAGGGGAACTGATGTCGCAAACCAGCTTCCCCTGAACTAGGGATGGTCTGGATCCTCAGACAGGATCAGTGGATCACAGGGTCCTCAACACGGATAGAGGAGGGAAAAGGAGGGACGGATGCAGAACCAGAAGGACTCAGCCCAAGATGACCAGCTTTGCAGCTTGAGGAAGGTGTCACCGGGCAAGGACGCGGCCACCACCCCAAGGTGAGACAAGAAAGACATGGATCCTCCCCTGGAGCCTCCAGAAAGGAGCACAGCCCTGCGGACACCTGACCCTCATCGCGGTGGCCCCGGGTCTGACCCTGACCCACACACAGGTGCACACGCGGTTGAGGCTGCGCTAAGACACCTGTGGGTCCATCTGTGACAGCAGCAACAGCCACCACCACACCAGTTAAGGACACGTGTCCCGTGAGCACAGTAAGGGTTCCGGTAAAACCCCACCTCCCCACATGTCCCTTTTCTGTCCTGAAGCACCGAGGGATCCACCCCTGCTGGGAGTCTCAGCCCCGCCTCCACTCGTGCTGAACACGCTGCTTCTGATTTCAGGGGAGAAGCAGAGCCTGAAGTCTGGGGTCTGGAAGGGATCCTGCAAGGGGCCCACGGACACTCCCAGGGACCAAAGCAGGGGGTAAGCCTGTCCTGGGGGAGGGGCCACCACGTACCGTAGACACTGAGGTGGAAATACTGGGCATTTTCTATCCCTGTGCTGAAGGAGCATCGAGCCCGGTACCACCCACTGTCCTCGAGGGTCAGCTTGTCAATCCTCAGGGTCGTTGTGTTGAGCACACGGAGCCTCTCCTTGAACTTGTCCTGGGGGTTGACCCATTCTGGAACATCCACCCCAGGAAAGACGTGCAGGAGGAATATGTAGTTTGACTCATTTTTAACGGCCCAAGAAATCATCTCCAGCTTGGCTTCAGGAGGTACTTCTGGACGTCTGGTAACATGAAACACCACAGAACCACCTTGAGTCCCCATCAGGGAAACTAGGTTTCTGGAATCCTCCACTCCAGATCCACGGGCCCCAGAGCTCCTGACCGCAGTGCTGAAGGCGCCTAGGGCATTGGAAACACAAAGTGTGAGTGTGTTTCATAAAGAACGAGGAGAAAACCATAGACCCCATCGTGGTAATGAACTCCACCCGGTGGATCCCTGGACTCCGGGGGGCGGGACAGAGCGCGAACCTGGGGCGAGGCTGGAATCAGTCCTGGTCCTGGTGGGGCGTCCCCTTGAACACGGTCCTGAACTGCTCAACCACACTGTCCTCACCTCTGACACTGAGAGTCTGGATATGATGACATCACGGATGAAATTCACTGAGCACATTTGGGTCAATGCCAAGTGCACAAGTGTAGGAGGAGCTTTCTCGGTGGCTGCAGAGGCCCCACAACCACAAGCCTTAGAAACCTGGCCCTGCAGCGGGGGCAGCGCCCTGTGACTTGCTCTGCGGAGCGGAGTTCAGCTACAGTGATGGGCATCACTCAGTGACAGCAGGTCTCCCAGGAGTGTGACTTCTGTCTAAATCACACCTGTCTCTCACTGCTGGGACGAGCCTGCAGCCATGTTGGGGCCGCGCTGTGGGGACGCCCAGGTGGCAGGGACGAGAGCAACCTTGTGCCACCTCCTGTGAGGAGGGAGGCCTGATCCAGCCCCAGGATCTGCTCCCCCTCCCCAAGTGCAGGGGTGAGGGGAACCACACCCTCCCCATTGGCCTTGAGCTCCCTCAGCCCCACACAGACTTGGATTTCAGTCTGAGAAGCCCCGAGACTCAGCCTCCAGAGTAGACACCCCAGGTCCTGACCTGCACAGGCTGGAAGCCCACACTGCAAGTTTCAAGGACCAGGGGACAGCAGGGGATGCAGCAGCAAGTGACAGGGTGGGCACTGATGGAGGTGGGTCCCGGCCCCTCCTGGGAAGGTCTTCCTGACTCGGTGAGGCTGCATGACAGGCCTTCACCCCAGTCCCTCTGGTCTCCCTCATGGGACGGGGGCTCCCACCCCGGGCCCAGCACCCTTAGCCCTCAGGCCACAAGCCCTCAGCACCTGCATCAGTGGGAAGGTGGTCACACGTCCCTGCCCCGGGCCGGCCAGGAGAGTGACAGGGACTCAGCCCTCAGCCCCCTGCCGGCCCCTCCTCCGTCCCTTCCCTCCAGAGGTCACCGTCCTCTGACCCCCAGTGCAGGACGAGGTCGGGGCAGACACGTGCCCTGGGTGCAGGACCCCCCCCGACACGGCAAAGACCAGGTGCACGGAGACGGCAGGGGACACGGCCCCCAGGTCCCTCTAAGCAAGTCAGGACACGAATGCCCCGGGTCCCTTCAGCACCGCTCTGCATCCCTCCCATCAGACACTGGCCAGAAACTTGAGTTTGAACTCTAAGTCCCCGGGACTGTGAGACAACAACTTGATGTGGTTTCAGCTGCCGGGTCTATAGGATCTTGTTCCCAGAGTCCCAGGATTCCAATCCAGGAGCCCAGGGTCAGGACCCAGCACCTGTGGACCCCATGAGGGCTCCTGGGACCCAGGCCTGGCGTCATGGACAGCAGATCAATGAGTCATGAGCTCTGCGATGAAACAGACCCACGTTCAAGTTCCAGAGCCGCCCTTTACTGGCTGAGTGGCCTTGGCGATTTCCCAAACTGTCTCACCTGAGGCCCCACTTGTGAAGCAGGGGACACGAGAGTGTGAGTGCAGGGGGCTCCTGGGGTGTAAACACGACACAGCAGAAGAAGCACCAGCCATCTCCGTCCGTGGTCCCTTCCGTCCCTGTTCCTAGGACCTCCTGCCCTGCACTTCTCCCCGGCGGCTGCACCCCTGATGCCGCCCGGCCTGAGACGGCACGTCCCCGTCCCCCATGACACGATTCCAGTCCCTACGGGTCAGCTGCTCCGTCACAGTCCGAGAGGGAAGGGTCCCCAGGATGGCCCTCAAGGCCAGCAGCCTGCGGAGGATTATCCCCACTCGAAGGACGAGAGGCTGCGTTTCGGCCACACTCGCAGCTCTCACATTGGTGGATGGTGAGCAGACCGTACACGCACACACAGGAGGCGATGGGGATCGACACGCAGTCTGGCCCGGACCTCGGACCCACTGCGCACTCCCCTCCACAGACATGGCTGTTCCATCGTGCGTGTCCCTCCAGGACCCTCCTGTGTCTCCTGTGCCCGAACACGCGCCAAACACGCCGTGCCTGCCTTTCCCTGCACGACTCGGGCAGGGGTCCACACTGCGTCTGCACACATGGACGCGCCTCACTTCCCAGCTGCACACGGTCCCACGCGGGGCTCACGTTGTCTCCATGTGTGATGGGAGCTTGGCTGTGGCTCTTGTCCCTGCAAACACCTTGGCACTGAGCAGCCACGACTGGAGTCTCTGCACACACGGGTGTAGACATGTGACGTGTGGACGCGTACACGTCAGGATCCGTGTACCTGTCACACACGGTATGTATACCGCACAGTTGGGGACACAGGTCTCACAGGGTCATATACGCCCCATGCTGGTGTATATCCGTCACACACAGGTGCACATACGTCACACATGGCTGTGTTCACCGGGAATAACCATTGGCTGCGTGCAATAGACCAAGGCAGGCACATGCACGTGGGACGGACCTGGCCCAGTGCCCTCCTGAGGGTGACCGTAGCCACACCTCTGCCAACAAGGCTGGGGCTTCCCTGACACACAACGGAGGAGGGAACCTTACATCACATTACATGTTAATGGGCGTCTCTCCTGTCATGAACCTGACCATCCTGTACCATCACTGCTCTGATCTCCTTTTCGGTCAGCCGTGAGCTATCTGCTTGTGTCCTTTGCTTGTTGTGTTCCCCTTAGTTCATAGGAGCCACATCTGTTGTAGGAAAATTAGTCTCTTTTCTTTTTATTATCTATTTAGTTGATTTTTTAAAATTTACATCCAAGTTAGTTAGCGTACAGTACGCCAATGATTTCAGGAGTAGATTCCTTACTGCCCCCTACTCTTTTAGCCCATTTAACCCAATCCCCCCTCCCATAATCCCTCCAGGAACCCTCTGTTTGTTCTCTATATTTAAGAGTCTGTTATGTTTTAGTCCGCCTCCCTGTTTTTATGTTATTTTGCTTCCCTTCCCTTATGTTCATCTGTTCTGTGTCTTAAAGTCCTCATATGAGTGAAGTCATGATATTTGCCTGTCTCTAACTAATTTTCCTTAACATAATATCCTCCTGGATCCATCCATATAGTTGCGAATGGCAAGATTTCATTCTTTTTGATTGCCAAGTAATACTCCCTTGTGTATATGTACAACATCTTCTTGATCCATTAATCCGTTGATGGATTTTGGGCTCTTCACATACTTTGGCTATTGTCAATAGTGCTGCTATAAACATTGGAGTGCATGTGCCCCTTCAAAACATCATACCTGTATCCTTTGGATAAATACCTAGTAGCACACTTGCTGGGTCATAGGGCAGTTCTATTTTTAATTTTTTGCGGAACCACCATACTGTTTTCCAGAGTGGCTGCACCAGTTTGCATTCCCACCAGCAGTGCACAAGAGATACTCTTTCTCTGCATCCTTGCTAACATCTGTTGTTGCCTGCTTAGTTAATGTTAGCCATCCTGACAGGTATGAGGTGGTATCTCATTGTGGTTTTGATTTGTATTTCCCTGATGATGAGTGACATTGAGCATCGTTTCATCTGTCTGTTGGCTATCTGGATGTCCTCTTTGGAGAAGTGTCTATTCATGTCTTTTGCCCATTTCTTCACTGGATTATTTGTTTTTTGGGTGTTGAGTTTGTTAAGTTCTTTATAGATTTTGGATATTAGCCCTTTATCTGATATTTCGTTTGCAAATGTGTTCTCCCATTCCATCGGTTGCCTTTTAGTTTTGCTGATTGTTTCCTTCGCTGTGCAGAAGCGTTTTACTTTGATGAGGTCCCAGTGGTTCATGTTTACTCTTGTGTCCCTTGCCTCCAGAGACGTGTCAAATAAGAAGTTGCTGTGTCCAAGGTCAAAGAGGTTCTTGTCTGCTTTCTCCTCAAGGATTGTGATGGCTTCCTGTCTTACATTTAGGTCTTTCATCCATTTTGAGTTTATTTTTGTGTGTGGTGTTAGAAAGTGGTCGAGGTTCATTTTTCTGCATGTCACTGTCCAGTTTTTCCACCACCACTTGCTGAAAAGACTGTCTTTATTCCATTGGATATTCTTTCCTGCTTTGTCAAAGATGACTTGGCATACATTTTTGGGTCCATTTCTAGGTTCTCTGTTGTGATTCATTGACGGGGTGTTTGTTTTTGTGCCAGTACCATACTGTCCTGATGATTACAGCTTTGTAATACAGCTTGAAATCCAGGATTGTGAGGCCTCCTGAAATTAGCCTGTTTTCTGACACAAATAATGTAACTGCCAATTCGCACATCAACTCTATGGACTTTAGGCCCTGCTACTATCCTCAGGAAGTTAGATGTAACAGCTTTTTTAAAGGCTTATTGGTTTTATATCTTGCAGAAAAAGATCTTCCCCACATCAAAAGTCTGTTCTCCATTCTGTCTGGTTTCCTTCAGGAAGGTTTTTGGTCTCAGTGTTCGTGTGTGAACCTGACTCAAAGGGACTGTGCTTGGCTCTCGGAGCAGGAGGTCTAATGAGGCAGGGCGGTCAGGAACCAGGGCTGGAGGGTCCGGGAGGCAGGGTCCACGTCCTCCATTCTCCTGAGCCCGTGGCCTTGAGCAGCCATGTACCCTCCCTGCCTTCTCCTTCCATCTGTGACGTGGAGATAATGACAGCGCTCCCCTGGGACAATGGTGGCTGGGATTTCAGAAGGCGAGCGCGTTCCCATACGTGTGAGCTGCTCTCACGACTACGATGCTTCTCCTGACCAAGCACCCCTGGGGTCCACACCAAACTTCCCATATCTCAGGATGGAGCCCTGCTCCCCCACCAGCTGCCCTCTTGGGGTCTCCTCCTGGGATCAGGAATGGGCTCCCCGGAGACAGACACCAGTGCTGTGACCCCACAGGCGGCTGTGGGTGCCAGAGTCCAGTTGGGCTATGGCTGCGTTCACAGCAGCTGGGTTCCATGGTCTCTCTCATGTCCACCTCAGCAGGTGACTGGACACACTTATGCAGCTGGGCAGGCTCCTTGAGACAAGGGGGCAGGCTCCCAGTTATCCCATGCTTGGGCTGAGAAAAACTGATACTGTAGGCTCCATATGGTGTGGGCATTTCCCCATTTCTCTTCAGCGGGTTGCTGTACTTACAGCTGGCTTCCCTCTCCTCTAGCTCAGTGCTTCCCCTGCAGGGAGCTGCCTGCAGCCCTCCCCTGCCCTGCCCCCCCCCGCCCTTCCCTCTCCTGCCCTGCACAGGGGCTCTCCCTGCACACCTGCTGTCTGCTCAGTGGGTCCCAGCAGCTCTGGGCTCTCCCGACCCAGCTATTCTCCTGGGAAAGGGACCCAAGTGCCTGTTGGGCTTTGGCAGGGCAGGGACCTGGGGCACCTGCTGGGAGGGAGGGAAGCAGGGAGGCAGGAGGCTCAGCCCTCAGGCTGCAGGGGAGGGTCTGTCCCCAGGCTGGATGGTGAGTGTCGACTCAAGGGCTGGACGCACCTCGAGGTGGGAGGAAGGTGAGAGCTCTCAGATCAGCAGACGGTGCTAATCCCAGAGAGGAAAGACAGATGGACAGAAAGACAGAAGGACAGATGGCCAGGGGCACAGATGGTTGTGATGTAGAGAGTCAGGATGTATTGAAAGAAGATAAAATTTGGGGGCACTTTGGTGGCTCAGTTAGGTGAGCGTCCGGCTTCACCTCAGGTCATGATCTCACAGTTCATGAGTTCGAGCCCCACATTGGGCTCTTTGCTGACAGGTCGGAGGCTGTGGCCTATTTCAGATTCTGTGTCTCCCTTTCTCTCTGCCCCTCCACAACTCACTCTCTCTCTCAAAAATAAGTTAATATTTAAATTTTTTTAATTGAAAGAAAGAGAAAGACTACATTTTGTTGTTGACAAAATTAATCAGTTAAGAGGGATGTCAATCTTACAAAGCTCATTTTCTTTACTTTTTGATAAATTTTTGAATGTTTCTTTATTTTTAGAGAGAGAGAGAGAGCATGAGTGGGGTAGTGATACAGAGACAAGGAGAGAGAATTCCAAGCTGGCTCAGCACAGAGTCTGACTCCTGGCTCAAACTCATTAACCAAGGGATCATCCCCTGAGCCAAAAATAATGTTAGGATGGATACTTACCTGACTGAGCCACCCAGGCGCCCCACAGAGCTCATTTTCTAATGGGAAACATCCTGTTTACAGATGCCCAAGGTTCAGGAACTTCCTACAACCCCTGACTCCAGCAAGGCCTGGGCACCCAAGCCAAACATTACAGGAAATAAAAGCTTTCCCAGGATTCCAGAGAATTCTAGCTCTGGAGGCCTCAGTGTTCTCCTTTGTTTTTATTTAATCTGTTACACAAAAGCAGAGAGTCTCAAAGGAAGTAATAACGGGAATGTCTGGATTTCATTAGGACAGTCTCTTGTGGGAACCTGCTGCTTCCCTTCCTGTCACCCTGTTCACACCCTCCTGGGGCCTGTCAGCACCCTCTGTTCCGTCCACATCCTTCCAGCAAGTGGGCGCAGACGCCCTCATATTCTGGGGCCTCCAGCCCTTCCTGGGTCAGAAAGAGTTCGGTGTGTCTGGGCCCTCCTCTTGCCCCAGGGGCTATAGGAGGGTCCCCCCACCCTGACAGGGCCTCTAGGCCTCCCCATTGTCCCCACATAGCAGCAGAGGTTGTGCGGCCCCCTGTGCAAGGCCTCCTCAGCTCAGAGACAAAGCCTCTCTCATGCCCTACGATAGAGGTGGTGTTTCATGTCTTTCCCCACAGACATCAGACCCATGGGAGCCCCCCCTCCCTGCCCCCCACAGAAGCCTCCCACCCAGGGACCCGGGCCACTCACTGAGGAGGAGGCTGGTGAATCCCAGGAGCCAGGGGGCCCGGCACAGGTGGAGGGCCTCTGGACACGTTCCCATCACAGGCTGCCTCCTGCCAGGCATGCTCTGGGCCTAATGGCTGCAGAGAAAACCTCCAGAAATCCAGAAGGAAAAGGCAAAACAAGAGGAAAGGTTCACTCACAAACACTCTTAGCTCTTCCCAACTGAGGGGCGGAGCTAACTGTCTAGGACCAGCTGACTGCTCTAGATAAAGCCATTCAGATGCTTCCTCTTACCTCCCCCTGCACTGGGACTCAGGAGATTATAGTAAATGAGTGTATGAACACCCCTTGGCTGAGCTGCTGGGTGGGAGGGGCCCCTTCCTGTGGGCACCACGGGCCTGGTGATCTCAGCTCCCCAGCCGGCACCCAGAGGGACCGCTTTCCTGTGTCCTGGGTTCACAATCAGCCCAGCAGCCCTGCTCCCCAGGGACAGCCGATGGCCAGGCGCATATTCACGCTAACCCCTGTACAAGGACACGGCCCCTCTCCCTGCTTTGGGCCTGTCCTCTGTCTTTACTGTGCACTGTTCATTGATTTCTCTAAACAAGGGACAGGAGGGGACATGCTTTCAAGAAACAGGTCACAGAGGCATCCATGGTGCAGGGAGGCTGTAGGAGCAGGTGCTCAGGCTCATGAAGGAAGTCTTCCCTGAGCCTGGACATGTGCCTGGTTCTAGGGGGTGGGTCTGGGGGCGGTAATGGAAGCCATGAGGGCCTTGACAGGGACCAGAGCACCTGCCCCTCCAGATATGGGTGACAACCAGTAACAATGTACCAACAGAGACAGCCTGATGGAGAACAAGAACACAACCATCTGTCTTCACAGAGGGATGTGAGACTCAGCTGTAGCACCAACTCAGCTCCAGACAACTTGCCAATGTTCCTCAGACAAGACAACCACATGTTGAAGCAGGGCGATCATGTGTCCTCTGGAAACTCTGCAGCTTCTCCTTTAAGAAGCTAAGCCTTTGCTTAATTCTGAGACCTGGTCCTTCCTAGGGCTGCTCTGCCTTCATTATGTATATAAAAGAGACATGAGTCCTTTGCTTTAAATCAGTTTGTTCTAAATTACTCTTAGTAGCGTGGAAGGGAAACATGGTATTTGTGTCAGTGGAAGACTCTGGACTTTACTCTGTGTCCCAGAAAGAAGGGAAGATGGAGTCCACCTGTGCAGGTGAGTGTTAACTGCCTAAGTGGTGTGATTCCACAAAATTAATATTTTTCTTGTTTCCTTTGACTCCAAAAGTAACTGAGCCCCAACAGCCACTCATCATGATAAACTCACAGTAAACTAGAAATAGAGGAGAATTTCTTCAACTTGATCATATCATCTCCACAAACACCACAGCTGACATCATACTTGATGCCCGCAGGTGGGAAACTCTTCTTCTAAGACCAGGAACCAGGAAGGATGGCTCCTAACACCACCCTTTCTCAGGATTATATGTGAAGTCCTAGCTGACAAAAGAAGATAAGAAAATTCAATATGAGGTATAGTGACTATGGAAGATGAAATAAAACCATCTCTGTACACATGTGACATGGTTTTCTATGTACAAAACCCAAAAGAATCCACACAAGAAGTACTCTTCACCTGATGAGGGATGATAGCATGGTTGCAAGAAACACAAGATTCCTACACGACACTCAAGTTACTCACTTTCATACCAGCAATAAAGAAATGGATTTGAAACTGAACACACAGTTCCGTGTACACTGACAACCCAAAAGTGATCCATTTAGGCCTAAATATAACAAAATATGCAAAGATCTTTATGAGGAAAACTACAAGACTCTCCTAAACAAAATCAGAGGAGACTATACAAATCTTTTATATATATGCAAAGATAGACCATGTTCATGGATAAGAAGACTCATTATTGTCTAGATATCCATTCTTCCCAACTTGATCAATACATTAGGTCAAACACAATCTACAGCTCGGGAAGTTATGACTGAGGTATTGATCACGTGATTCTACAGGTTGCATGGAGAGAAAATGACTCAGTGGAGCCCACACCATGTTGGTGAAGAGGCTCCCACCTCCTTTTTCAAGACCTCCTATAAAGTTACAATCATCAAGACAGTACTGATTTGGGTAGAGAAATGCCAAATACATCCTGCCACAGAAGAGAGAGCCCAAAATAGACCCATGCATAGATGGTGATCTGATCTTTGACAAGGAGCAGAGGCAATACTATGGATAAAGACAGTCTCTTCAACATATGATGATGGAACAGCCAGACATCCATGTGCAAAAAAAAACAAAAACAAAAACAAAAAAAACAAAAAAACTGAGACACAGAGCTCACAGCCTTCACAAAAATTAATTCTGTGGATCAGTGACTTCCATATAAATGAAGACGGGGGAAACTCCTACTGGATAACATAGAAGAAATCTAGATGTTATTGAGACAGGCAAGTATGTTTCTGAAAGACACAAAAGGCATAATTCATGAAGGAACGCTGAGATAAGCAGGAATTCAGTAAAATGAAACACTTCTCTGCAAAGAAAATCACAGGAAGACATAGAGAAGCCCCAGACACGGAGAAAAAATCTGCAAAAGGCATATCTGATAAAGAAGTGTTAGCCAACATATATAAAGAGCTCTGAAAACTCAACAAGAAGAAAACCAACAATCCAATCAAGAAAGAGGCCAAAGGCACGAACAGGCATCTCACCAAAGAGGATACACAGGTGGGAAAGTGCACAGGAAAGATGCCCCACATCACATGTCCTCAGGGAAATGCAAACAGAAGCAATGAGACATCCCTGCACACCTTAGAATGACACAGTTTGAGAACTGCCTCCACCCTGTGCTGGTGAGAAGGCGTCACCCCAGGAGCTCTCACTCCTGCTCCTGGGAATGCAACACGGCGCCACCGCTTTGGAAACTGGCCTGTGGTTTCTTGCAAACCTCAACATGTTCCTACCATACAATCCAGCCACTTCCCTCCTGGGTAATTGCCCAAGGAGTTGAAAACCTAGTTCACACTAAAACCTACTCCTAGATGTATTTAACAACTTCCTTCATAATTGCCAAGACCTGGAAGCACCAAGTGGTCCTGCACTTGATGAATAAATAAATAAACTGGTCAATCCAGACAAGGGAACATCACCAGCTCTAAAATGAAACAAGCTATCAAATCACAAAAAGACTCCCAGGGAACTTAAATGCATGTTACCACATGAAAGACGCCAATGTGAAGGGTACACACTGTTACAACTACATGACATTCTGGAAAAGGCAAATTAATTTGTTATGTTTATTTATATCTTTTGAGAGAGAGAGAGAGAGCACCCAGTGGAGAAGCAGAGGAAGAGACAGAGAGAGAGAGAGAGAGAGAGAGAATGCCAAGCAGTCTCCAAGCTGTCAGCACAGGGTCCAATGAAGGATTCAAACCCCAAATCTATGAGATCATAACCTGAGCAGAAATCAAGAGTCAGACAATTAATGAATGGAAACACCCAGGCACCCCAAAAGGGAAGGTTGTGGAAACAGTAAAATCATCAGCATTTTCCCTGGGTTGGGGGAGGAGTCATGAACAGGGGGAACGCAGGATTTTACAGCAGTGAAAAGACTCTGTGTGCTACTATAATGGTAGATATATGTCTTTCTCCCTTTATCTGAACTCACAGACCACGGAGTGGCTGATGGGCAGGGAGGAGGCCACAGGCCCAAGTGAGCCCACCGTCAAGAGAAACTTTGGCAAGTCCTTCTGGGACAAGGCCACCGAGGTCATGATGGGGATGGGCTCATATATGGAAACGGGTGGGCTTTTTGCTTCAAAGATCACTTAGGCCTGTTCCACTTGCTCCCCAAGTCACCCCCCTGACCTGCAGATCAGCAGTTTCTTTGCACCTGGGACCCAGGAGTCCAGTCCCAGCTGTGCCTCTGGCCCTCAGTTTCTGGAAGGAAGGCAGATCTTCCAGGGGATCCTTGCAGCGCTGTTCCCAGAGTGTCAGGGATGCTCCACAGCTTTCTGGCTTCTCCTCCATTGTGCAGCCTCAAGCCTGAGGAAGGGGCTCGCCCCTCCTGACTTAGAAAGTGCTAGGAGCCTGTGCAGACGGGGGAAATCCCGACAACGTCCGAGGACCCACCTCATAGACTTTAGAGACCCCAGTTCTACATGCTGACAAGTTGGTCAGGAGTCCCCCCCAAAGAAGTTTGTTTCAACTGTAAATTCCCAATGTCATGGAGAAGATGCTGTTTGGTACTCTCCCCTCCACCCCACACCCCTACAATATCCCACATTCCAGAACTAGACCAAGACACTCTGAGATGAAAACACTCTATGGCACACGTCTTCAGGAGCCTCTTCCTAGGTACCCGACACTTGTCCTGGGAAGAGAACCACTTGTCACCATTGATGTTGACCTTGACCACTGCTCCAGGCAGTGCCTGTCAGCAATGTGTTATGACTCTTTTGAGTTCTCCCCTCCATTTCTAAGGGAATGGCCTCATGTGAGTAACAGACCAGGAGATGGAAGCATCCCCTCAGGTGTCAACTTCCAGCAATGGGGGGGGGGAGGGGAACAGAGGGGACAGGACACACCTCAGGGGACTGACACCATTACCTAGGCAGTGGTCAAGGGAACAGTCTGGACAACGTGAGAGACAAGTTAGGACCTGTCCCCAGGGGCAGGTCAGGGAGGTGGGGAAAGGCCACAGGGCATGGTGGGGGACGGGGGGGGGAGGGGAACAGCTGGAAGTGAGACCAAGAGAGAGTCTGAGGCATGACTGGGAAGGAGGCTGCAGTCAGAGGCTGCCCCGGGGGCTCATGGGAGAGGAGTGCAGGCGCCTCCCCCTCTAGAGCACATGGGCAGGTGTTTGCTTCATGTTGCAGGGTTCTGAGATTAGGATACATGGTAGAATTGATGTTACTTAGTGACACATAAAACATTGATGTATCTAGATTATTGATACAAAGTAGCTTTGAGAAACACAGTAGCTACAATGAACTGTGAGAAAATGGATGGGTTCCCTTGAGAAGCAGGGCTCGGTATACAAAAGTGGAAAGGAGACTCATTTGCTCTAGTTTTCATCATATGTGTATAATCTGTTATTTGTCATCAGGAGCTGTCTTCCAGCGAGACA